GAGGCTACTGGAACTACAATAAAAATTTTGACTACAGATATTTACCTTTTTCACATTCACTTTGATAGCCATTTTTGAGGATGATCTTTTACTCTGAATTTTTTTTTTAATTAAAAATTAAATTTGGGGCTAGTGACTGAAATGTGTTAGTGTTACCTCTTCTCTGTAAGCTCTGGGTTTAATATAGCTTTATTACCTTTCACTTCAGATAACATTAATTTTGTTGTGACAGAGTTTACCAGCTCTATGTATCTAGAAGGTAAATGTATAATCTAACTTAATAACGTAATATGCCTCCAGTAGTGAGAGGAGGTCCTTCAATGTGCTGTTCATCCCATCTATCTTAAAAGGGGAACACCTAAATAGTGTTCATCTTTCCATTGATTGTGGTGAGCTACATCCTGCCCTCTTAGAAAGCTGCTTCCTCCTAGCATGGCACAATTAATCATTTTGTTGTTTTATATCAAACATGAGCTGAGTATGTTCTATTTTGCTCAAACCACTTTTGAACAGAAAGCTGTGCATTTGAGTTTTCTCCTTTAAAACAATACCCATATAAAGTTGCAGAGGAAAACAGTGCAGAAACTTTTCCATATTTGTACAACTGTTGGATTCTTCTTGTGCTTTTTTTGTCTTGGGAGCCTAAACTGGAGAATTTACTTGTATTAAAAGCAAATAGATACCTTTTGGATTCTTTTATATAATTTATAACATTGGTTTTAAATGGATCCCCCTTTTGAAAAATACATTTTTTTAATGTTTATTCTTGGTTTGGACTCCACCAGGTAGGGGCGGTCTTGATCTTCAGCATAGAAAACCATGAATTCTCTTATTTCTTGCATTAAAAAACAAAACAAAACCCCAAACAACAAGCTAGCATGCTAACAGACCACTCTCAGTTGTGTTCATGTGACCTAAAGGGGGTACTGTTTGGACTGGAAAACTGTAGGGTACAACTTGGACCATTGCCTAGATGTGGGCCCTTTCTTAGCATGAACTGACACTGCAAAAGCAGTGCAGTGCCTGTGCGTACCCTCAAGAAATGTGTTGCAGTGCTAGAATAGACCAATATCATCATCCAACCTAGCCAAGCAGTGGAAGAAAAGTATTCCTTTTTTCTGACTGTTCTTGCATCAAGCCTGTAACTCCTTCTCAGACTTAAACCAGATCTTTTAGAAAAATACACAGTCTTTATTCTAAACTGTCAACATACAGAAAATTCACTGCAATATTAAATAATTTTTCATGTGTAATTATTCTTGCTGGGTAAAACTTAACTCTTAACCCTCTCTTCAGTAAAAATAAATACTCATCTGATTTAATCTGAGGTAGATTTTTTTCAAATCTTGAAAACATATTTTAGCCCTTTCCCGAAACCTTTCAAAATTGTCAGCATCCTGGATAGAAGTATAGAGGCTGGAAATGGATGAGCTACTGCAGTACAGATTATCTGTTCAGAACTGTTCCATGGGAATTTTTATCATCTTTTTCCGTCTTCCTAATTGGCTGTTTTTTGCTTGTTTCCATTTTCAAGTAACATTTCTCTCAAAAGCTTTGTCTACCAGATTTTTCTGATAACCTTTTTTTACCCATCTATGTGATTATTTATTCTCTATCACTCTTTTGTATGTTGGTGTTATCTCGAGAGTCTTCTTAGCAGAACCATATCTTTTTTCCATGTGCATGAAAATATTTTGATCAAAGTTGAGATGAATCAGATCACTTCATGGCTCTTTTCTGTTTAGAAATAATTTTTCGGTCAGTTAACTAGTTTGCAGCCTGTAAGCCGCACTGATATTTTTATATTGCTCAAAAAAACTCAATGTCATCTGTGATTAAGTCAAATATATTAAAGAAATCAGAAGTAACTGTGTTAACATATTTAATCACACTTGATCTCATCAAACTTACCATTTTGATTAAACCTGTTTTCCATAATGCCATGTGGAATGGCACTAATTACGTGCCTGTGCTTTGATTCTTCATTGATTGTCTTGCAGCAGTCTTCTCGTGAGTGTCTGGAACAACACACAGCTTGTGTGACCTGTGCCTACATGCTTTTGTTTTACTTCTTCTAAATATTGTCCCTATCTGAGTTTCTATCAGTCCTATACATTTTCCCATTTTCAAAGGCTTTTTTTAAAATTCACTGCTTGTGTTTGGGGCATCTCCTATTCCAGTTATTTCATGTTGTTGGATGCCAATTCTTCTGATCCTTTTTCTGTTTCAGTTCATTTTAGGAATTTATCATTTGTCTGAAACAAGATATCAATGAACACATGGATGTATTTTTCATGATAAATTAGGATATTTCATTGAATGTAACCACCTTTTTTTTTTTAATGGAAAAAATTGCATTGGAGCTGTTGTCTTCCTAAGCTTTTATTTATTCTTGATGCACTAGTTCTTGTTTCGGTTTTTTATTGGGGTCTTTAGCTCCCCTTATCAAAATGTCACAGTTACAAATTTGAGTATGTTCTTCTTTCGTATCTTAATTTTTTTTTTCACTTGGAAATAAAATTTGCACTTAAAAGCTTGTCGAGTTTTACCTTTCTTGCCATATTTTCTCCCAACCAGAATGTGCTTTGACCAACTTATTCCTCCGTAAATGCTGCCATTTGGCACTTGTGAAAGCTTTCTAAACTATTCCCAATTACCAGGTGTATTTTTTTCTGAAATTTCTTCTGACAATTGCATTGGCTCATGTTAGTTTTCCAGCTATTGAAAATTATTCTTTCTTTTTCGTTTTTCACCAGGACTGTTATGGCAAATTAAATGGGTTAGTGATTGCTTGGTGTCTGTTCAGTTTATAATTTTTTTAGTTCATTTGTTCATTAATAGATGAAGGTTGGGAGCCTTAATGCATTAGGAAGAAATCTAATATGGAATTACTCAGAGTTTTGTAACATAGACGTCCAGTCTGATTTTTTGTTTTTAGGAACTCCAAAGATGTTTTGCCCAGTGGAACAGCTTGAAATCTTCCATTAAAAAAAATATGTTTGCTTCTGTTGTTAGACAGCTACTCTCTTTTGTCCTTTGACACAGCTCCAGAATTACTCCTGATTTTTCTGACAATTTACATATGTAGTGATTAACACACACACTTTCCAGGTCTGTGTCTTCAGAATTTCCAGTAGCTCTGCAGACTCTGAAGCTTCAGGTATTTGCAAAATTCAAAATTAAGCCTCCTGTTTCTTTAAAAAAAAAAAAAAAAAGTATGAAAGAATCCATATGACTCTACTTCTTTCTGCCTCTCCCTCAATTCCCCTCATATTGTAATGGAAGTCAGCATCCTCACTAAGTTAAAAGTATTTGTTTTGTGTATGAAATTTCACTTGTGGTTTCATTAGGTATTTATTAATTTCCTGCCCAGATCTCCTTTAGTATGTTGCTGTGGTTTTTTTCCTACCAGCTGTTCATCCCAGCGGTGGTTGTGCTGACATTGGAATGGGCAGAGATTGGGGGAAGTGAACAGAGATTACTTCCAGTGTTTTTCTTTAAAGCATTCAGAGGCTTTTACAGACAAGGAAGCAATATTGAATAGACTTGCATTTCTATTGAACATTTTGGAGTTCTAGCGAAAAATCAGAGGTTTTTGTCTTGATTATCATGACTTACAGTCATAGTGTCTGGCTGCCCAGCTATCTTTCCTACTAAATTGAGAACAAGCATTACTGCAGAAGGCTGTAGAGATACATGGAACTAGAGGAAGGAGTGGAGGGCTCTCATGTCCTAGTCCTTGTACAAGCTACTTCTTGGCTTGTCTTCACTCTTCTGGCTGATGAATACTGCTTCGGTAAAGGCTGAAAGCTACAACATATCTGTTTCAGTGTGTCTGCTGCTGTCACAATAGTTTTTATACGAAGTGACTGATTTATTTAGTCTGTTTGATTTTAAGAAAATAATAAGTAAGAATATCTGGGTTTATCTCTCTTCCTTGTATCTTGAAAGGAGAAGAGTGTTTACTTTATGTTCACAAGCTTTTGCATACTTTTTCATTTCCCCTCTGCAGCTGTATGAGCTAGAGCTGTGCTAAAGCTTTAGATTTTCATGTGGTTTTTCAATTGTAGCAGCTAGGTTGTGAAGAAAAATGCCAAATAGCACACAACTTGGAAGTAATTTTAGTGTTGACAGTCCCATGCACTAAAAATACTTTTATGCTTGATTTCTATGCAGTATAATCCCTGAAATGTTGCTACTTTTTTAAGATGAGTACATTGAAGCAATATTTCTTTGGCCTGACCTAGCTACAGCAGAGTATGTAAATTCAGTTTCTTTCCTATTTAGTGTACCTTCATCAATCCTTTGTTGTTAGGAGGGCACTAAGATAGTTAGTGCTCCTTAGCTGCTTCTAATCACTCAAGCTGTTGGCTGCTACTCTCTACAGCAAGCAGGAAAAGCTGATAGTAACCTAAAAAAAAAGGGGGGAGGAGGGGGGAGAGATGATCACAGTCACTGGAAAAATACTCAGTAGAGCAAGCTGATATGGGAACTAAAGTGAGCAGTCTCTGGAGAGAGAAGGCTGCTAATCCTGCCTGGAGAATTGAGTTACTGTAAGAGACTGATTCAGAAATCACCAACTGAAGTTACACTTCATTGTTATTCCCTGTGCCACCTGCAGATTTGCACACTTGAAAACATTTGCTGAAAGTCAGTTTAGTGATCTCAGTAGTGTAGGAAGTCATGCTTCAAAAGAACAAGGTCTGGAAAATTCTGTCATTGCAGAGTAAATGCTTAGAGTGATGCCATTTGCCTTGGCTGGTAGTTTCAAGAAAAGGTCAAAGAGCACAGACCAAAACCTTATCTTCACAATGGGGCAGCAAGACAATGAAGCTTCTCAGGGTCAGGGTCACTAAGCTGTGTCTGTGACTTTACTTCAGTAGCTTGTTCTCCTGTTCTCTTCCCTCTACAGCTGGCAGTTGAAACATTCAGTCAGTCTTTTGCTATATCCTGGCCAGTTTATCTTTTAAACATCTCTTTCTCTCTTTCCCCCCAAAAAGCAGAGAATGGCAGATAACCAGGAGAGTCAAATGACCATTGAAGAAAGGAAACACCTGATTACAGCTCGAGAAGAAGCCTGGAAGTCCAAGGGTAAAGGAGCAGCCAATGACTCCACACAGTTCACTGTAGCTGGCCGAATGGTAAAAAAAGGTCAGTGATGAAATGATCCCAATATAAATAAGTCGCTGCTTATCTGTCTAGTCAAAATAAAGTCAAGCTAAAACTATGCAGAAGCATATCCATGTTTAGCAAGACAAGAACTGTTTATCTTCAACTGAATATCATGTCATCAGGCTGTTTACTCTAGCTTCTTGTGGCCGTTGGTATTGATCCATTTTGTTCTGCACTGTTGCACTACTATCCAGTTATTGTTGGGCTCTGTCTGACTGGTGGTAGTCAGTCATTTGAACTGTCATATGTTTTGTTTTCCTTTCTAGTACAACCCAGAGGACATAGTTGGATTATTCTTTCTTATGTATTCTTCCTTTGAAAACCCAGGTGCACTGTTTAGAGAAAAGTTGTGAAATCTAGTTGTTTCTATTGCTGGCACTTCGCCCACTCCTAGGATCACTGGGAATATTTAGCAAACAGGTGTTATTTTTATGGATGCTGTTTTGGACAACAACTTGAAGTGTTGTGTTTGGCTGAAGAAATCACTGAACAGATTTCTGCACAGAACCAGGGAGTAGAAATGACAAGGGAGTAATGTTGACATTTTGGGGATCTCTTAAATTCAGTCACTGTTTCCAGATACAATCATTCTTCTGAAGTGGACAGGAGTCCCTGAAAGCTGTACATGGTAGAAATACAGCTGTTCATGCAGTGTGCTTGGGAAGAAGGGACCTAAACTGATCTCTCGTGGTTAATGAATACTAAATTTTGCTTTGTTACAAGAACTTGGTTATTAAATACAACAATGAACCTTGAGTTAAATGACAACCACCAAAAAAAATCATTGTGAGGTGAGAACACTTGCAACAGGGAGTAACTCCATCTGCAATCCAAGCCACCTTCTGTTGGCAGATAAACAGATACATGGTATTAGGAATTACATCTGTTAGTAACATATTTCAGCTGCTGCTTACATTGTTTTGCTGCTAGAAACACCAGTGGTCAGTGTTTAAATGCTTACCTATTTTGGAGGGTCACCAAAGACAGGCTTTTTGAGTTTGGTGGGGTTTTTTTTGTTTTGGTTTGGTTTGGTTTTTTGCCAAATAGATTTGCCTTTGGAAAGGAATAGAAGGTGATAGCATTTGCTTTTCTTAATGGGAAAAGAAAAATACCTTGAAAGGATCTCTTTAGGTGGTGCGATCATTCTTTTGGAGAAGCAAGGTAATCCAGTGACAGTTGCATCAGTAAAAGTAGCCCAAGTGGGATTTTATTCAGATGTGTGCTATTTTTGTTGCCTAAAAGAATAGATTATCATCATGAGTTTTTAATTTAAGAGCCAATGAGAAAGCAATGCAAATTTAAATTTTTGTTATATACATGTGCACAGATGCTGTATTTTAATTGCTGCTTATGACTGAAAATTTTTCAGTCCTAATGGGAAGGTGATCTTTTACTAACATCTGAAGTGGTTCTTAATGTGGTCTTGTGGATTAAGTCCTGGGAGAGCTGCTTAAGAGCTGTGTCCTCTCAAATATGTCTTGTTGAAGGCTTTACTGGTTGACTTAAAACCTGCTGGAATTTTGAGTCTATTAGGTAACAGGGAAAAAAAATATTTGTGGAAAAGCTACTCAATTACATTCTAAATCTATATTGGTGTTTGACAATTATGACTTGCTAGGACTTGCAGTAAAGATAGTGGAAACATGGTTAGTATATATTCTCCGAGCACAGTATTGGTTTAATCTGATCAAAATAAACTAAAGGCTTAAATTTATGTGGCTCAGTAACTGGTAAGCTATGGCTAAGTGGAAAATAGAGGAAAGTTTAAATGTCAGTTTCCCCATTTACTGAAAGTCTAGGCAACAAGAGGCAATAGATGCAATTCTTTGCTTCAGTATGCTTTTCTACCTAATAAAAAAACATGAAACCTGTAGAGTGTCATTTCTCCTACTGGAACAACATAGATTCGCATGAAAAGAACTAAACAAAAATCATTTTATCCACTGGGTCCAGAATGAATCGCTTTATGGTAGTTACTGAAAAGGTGGGAGGAGAGTACAACAAAAGGAGGGACTAGTGCTTGATACAGTGGGGACTCTGACTTTCATTTCTACTTCCATTTCCACGTGTTCTTAAAAACACAACAGGGCCCAAAAATTACTGCTTAATCCAGGGACAGCATTCACAGGTCAGATGCATCCTGCTACATGGATTAATAGAGATGGGTTGAAATTAAAAAAGGGGGTTGAAGGGGTGGTAGTAGCGAACGTGCCAAGCAAGATCTTGGTATTTTCCCTGCTAACCATATCTTTTTGTTCAGAACAGTTGCATGTTTTTAAAATGTGGCTTGTGGTAGAACTGGAGTCCAAAATGTAGACCAAGTGAACTGCTGCTACCCTGAAAACAAGCAAAATGACTGTATTCAAGAGAAAGCATGTATCTTGTGTTAGCTTGCTTACAGACACTTGGAAACAAAGCTTTTTTTTCTTGTGAATGGGATGGTTTCTGGGGCTGCTGTTGATTTAAGGAGCAGGCAGGGCAGTACACTCTGCCGTCCTTAATACAACAGTTGTGGAGGCTGAGGAGGTATGAGGGTCTGTACAAAGTGGCCAGGCTTGTCTGCTTTCCCTAAATAGCTTCCCCAAGTCATCATTGTTGGAAAGGTGGGCTGACCCAGGTCTGCATTTCCTATGTTCTGTGTTCTTATGCAGGCCTGGCTTCTCCAAGTGCGCTAACACCAGTAGCATCCCCTTTTAGTAACCGGCAGAAGTCTACCACTCCAGTTACAAAGCCCTTGGAAGGTAAGGAATAAAAATGGGTGAAATACGTTCAGGCTTCTTTACTTCCTGTCACATCACTTAACATTTTACTTTCTGGTTTGCTTAGAAATTGAAGCCAGGCCTGATATGCAATTGGAATCAGATATGAAGCTTGACAAGTTGGAGTCATTCTTGGGAAGGCTGAATAACAAAGGTTGGTAGAGTTACCAAAGGTGGCAATGTATCTACTCTCCGACTTCAGTAAATCACTTGAAGTACCTCATAGTTAAAATATCTGGTAACAGAAACTGAATATTTCTTTGTTCAGACTGCACTTACTGATCACCCACTTTATTTTTGTGGTTCAGTCTTTGCTAAGTTTTAACAAAAAAGCCTTATGCTATTGTATTATGTATGTATGATAGAATAAATCACAAACACCAAAATTACTTTCTTCTTTCTCTGCACATGATGTACATTCTTTCTGAGAGCAAAATTTCTTAAAATCACACAGCCAGTTTGAACCATATTGCCATATACAGTGAAACAGCTTTAAATGTAGTTTAATCTTACTGAACTCAAGATGGGACCCTAAGCTGCTCCCAAGCACAATTCATTCACCTTCCTGCTTTTTTGAAAATTGACTTTCTGTAGCAGCTCATATAGCTTCCTTGTACAGCTTGTTGGCTACCTGTGAAGCTGGCTAGAGTTCTCTGGTGTTTCCATCTCATGTATCTGTCCTCTATTTGTAAAACAAAAATCCTTTTGTAATTTGTAGAGTGCCAAATACCATAAACAAATGTATTCACATTTCAGCAGAGGAGGCAGTAGCATAGGATAATGATTGTGCCATCCATACTCACTAGTCTGAAGTAGTGACTTTTCCACCTGTAGTTCTAGTAGATCTTTTCAAAGGAAGGAATTATGTGGTTGGAGGCAAGATGGACTGTGCAAGACCATAAAATGCTTATATCATCGTACCAAAACAAATCGTTTTTGACAGTGCCTAACTTTTTATTCAGCCATATTTCCCAACCATTTTGTAATAAAGATTATTGCTTTTGACTAGCAGTTAAACTCCATTTTTATCGTTCTTTTCCAACAGACTTTTCTACCATCTCTCCTTCAAATTCCATCAATTTAAAAAAACAAAAAACAAACAAACAAAAAACAAATACCACCAGCCCACCCAAAAAAAAAACCACCCCAACAACTACCAAACAAGCCATGTTTACCTTTTCTAGAGTTAGAAACTCTAGTATGATTATTTATTGGGTGAGGTGTTTTTTTCCTGCAGTTGCTGGCATGCAAGAGACAGTGCTGACAGTTACAGGAAAATCTGTGAAAGAGGTGATGAAGCTGGATGATGATGAAACATTTTCCAAATTTTATCGCCATGTGGATTTCCCTTCTTCCTCAGTGCCTTTGGACCTTGATGAGGACTTTGATGCCATCTTTGATCCTTATGCACCAAAGTAAGAACTATCGGGTGGTTTTTTGTTTTGTTTTGTTTTTTTCCATTGTTGTGAATGTAGATGTAGGGGTGGTTGTCAAAATGTTCAGCTTTAAGTCATCTTGTAGATATCTTAGTACCGGTTATGTCCATTTCTTATACATCCTTCTGAAATTGCTCTTCTGCCTGAATCCAGGAACTGATCCTGATTTCCTAACAAATGTCACACCCAAAATCAAAGCAAATCTCTTGTCATTGGATGATTCTGACTAGGAAAATTAACTGATGATTATAAACACTGCTTGTTTTTCAGGTTAATATCTTCTGTAGCAGAGCACAAACGTGCAGTTAGGCCTACACGCAGAGTCCAGTCCTCAAGAAACCCCCTGAAAATGCTGGCAGCAAGAGAAGATATTCTTCATGAATATACTGAACAACGACTGAATGTTGCCTTCATGGAGTCAAAGCGAATGAAAGTAGAAAAAAGTAAGCTAACAGGATGATTTGTACAAGACACTGTCTTGCTATTTTAATTTAAAACAAAACAAAGCTTTTGGGATAGCAGTTAATCTAAGTTCAACCTGGTTTTGCTGTTGCTATTGAGAAGGACAAAAACTAGAAATAATGGGGGGAAATAATTTTTTTTTTTTAACGCAACAACCAATTTTTTAATAATTTTGTCCTTTTTTTGGTTTTTTTGTGTGTTTTTTCTCCAACTTCTTTTTATGTACAAGTGTCTACAAACTCAAATTTCTCAGAAGTAGCACTTGCTGGCTTGGCAAGCAAAGAGAACTTCAGCAACGTTAGCCTGCGGAGTGTTAATCTAACAGAGCAAAACTCTAACAACAGTGCTGTGCCATACAAGAAGCTAATGCTGCTGCAAATTAAAGGTATGCTGAAACTGCTTTTACTTTCCATATATAATAGGCTGATTGTAACATATGGGAGTTGCTACCACAGTTAGATGCTTAGCTTGCTCTAGGTCACCAGCTCAAAATTTATGTCCAAAACCTAAAAGAATAAGTGAGAACTGTGTGGCAAATGCAAAACCTTACAAATTGGTTTGCATTGTGGCCACTGTTGTGTGTTTTCTGAGGAGAAAACAAACTATTTCAGGAATTCTAGCTATCTCGGGTGGAAATTTTTGAACTGTCCCATTCATCTAGTGCTCAGTATAACTTGAAAGTGACATGACAGTGTTCTTGCTCCACTTCCCCTTACAATGCATAGTAATGTATCTGAATCTGCAAAATAATAGCTACTTTTTTGACAAAGTAAAGCTCTTAAAACTTTTACTGCCTACAGAAACTGTGTCATAGCTTCACTTAAGCAAATGTAGAGGATTCTGGAATTTGGCTGCTGTCTGCCATTTTACTTAAGTAATTTCTCTCCAGAAGGACAAAAAGTTGTTAAAGCAAGAACAGGAAATAATAGAAATATTAGTTGATCGGAGGCAACTTTTTTTTTTTTTTGCTTTCTGTGAATAAACCCTTTTTCCACAGTAGTAGTCTTTCAATGCTTCTTTAACAGTCTGTTTCCATATATTTTGCTACATGTGCTGGGACTGTTTGTATTTCACTCAAAAGAAATTAGATCTTGGCATTTGATAGCGGTAGTCAAAGGAATATAATTAGCTTTGTTTTCTTTTTAGGAAGAAGACATGTTCAAACAAGATTAGTTGAACCAAGGGCCTCGTCACTGAACAGCGGAGACTGTTTCCTGTTGTTAACTCCACATTTTTGTTTCTTATGGGTAGGAGAGTTTGCAAATGTCATAGAAAAAGCAAAGGTTAGTACTAGTTGGGTTTTTTTATTATTTATTTTTAGAACTGTCGCAGCGTATGTCTCTTTGATGTAATTGAGCCTTGGTGCCAGTTGTCTCAAAAAGTGGCATGTAACTGATAGTCAGTGACAGGTAGATATGCAGAGTTCCTGTAAATATGTTTTAGCCTGTGCACTCAATGAAAGCTGACATACGAGTGTGTAGGTTGTGAAGCTGCAAGAGAAAAGAGGATATCCTCAGGAAACAGATTTGCACTCAAACAAAAAATAGTTTGAATTGCAGGATGTCCTTTTTATTCCCATGTTCATTAAGATCAAGTCTTGTTTTTAGACAAATGAAAGAATGAATGTATTTCTGTAACATTTTCTCTAGTGTCTGTTCATTTAGTGCAACAAATAATAATAATTTCTCTTGCTATTTGCTCTACTATATCCTATCTACTTTTGCCTACTCCCTGAACAAGATATGCACAAGTATTCCAAAGACTTAAGCAATTCTGTTCAGATAACTGTTCATCTTTTAGGCTTCAGAACTTGCAACTTTAATTCAGACAAAGAGGGAACTTGGCTGTAGAGCTTCTTATATACAGACTATAGAAGAAGGAATAAATACCCATACCCATGCAGCCAAAGACTTCTGGAAACTCCTTGGTGGACAGACAAGTTACCAGTGTAAGCATTCTTACAGTTATAGTATCTGATGTTTTATCACAGTAAAATAGTTGAGTCTGTTCTCTTTACTAAAGATAGCTGGATGTTAAAATTTTTTATTAATTTTGACAATCGTTTCCTAAAGCTGCTGGAAGTCCTGAAGAAGATGAAATGTATGAAGCTGCAATAATAGAAACAAATTGCATTTACCGCCTTGTAGAGGATAAGCTCATTCCTGAGGATGACTACTGGGGAAAGGTGCCAAAATGTACCCTGCTACAACCAAAAGAGGTATCGTGCCACTTATTGGTCCTGTTGTAAGTGCAGGAATGTACAGCTGATGATGACCTTCAGGAATCGCAAATGCTCATGGAGAGGCTCACTGAAAATTGGGTCCTCTCTGTTTCTGAAAAGCTTCTGAACACTTTGCTGTCTAGAGTGTGCTGCAGGTCTCAAGAAATTAGATCATGTTATCTTTAAAGTGAAATAGTATTTTAGGAAGTGTAAATCTTTTTGTCATCAGTAGCTCACTCCAAAGTCATGAAGTGCAAAACAGGTAGCACTTCAGAAAAAAACAAAATAAAAACCTGTTTTCCCTTTCAAGCATTTTTATTTCTATCCTTAGCAGACTTTTCCCTTTCAAACAACCATTTCACCCATCTAAGTAGAAATAAGAGCAGATTTCCAAAATAAAGACATGATGCATTTTCTTGAAAGTATTCAAGTTGCTGCTTGTTTGCTGAGCCAGATACCCACGCTGTATGTTCTGACAGCCTTCCTGAGTTGCAGGACAAAGCATAGGTCTAAATGTCAGTGAAAGCTGCTGTAACTTGACGGCAATCAGTTATGCAACAGAATCAGGTTCTTGGTAGTAAGAGCTCTCTAATCTACTAGTTACCTAGATACCACCTAAAGATACACCTCATAGCACTCCCCATACCTGCTTCCAGTCACCCTCGACAATTAGACATCACAGTGCAGATCACTGCCCTGGCTTTACTTGCATTGCAGTGCTAGTTGTTAGTGTCACTGCAGAAACTCAGGTATTTGGAGGAGTTTGTGTTCAATGCACTGTCAGCTTGCAGCACTAGGAAACTGGAGGATCAGGGTATCACCTAACCTAATGGTAGTTGGGGTTTTTTTTGTTTTGATTTGGTTTTTAGGTGCTGGTGTTTGATTTTGGCAGTGAAGTATATGTATGGCATGGAAAGGAAGTTACTTTAGCACAAAGAAAAGTGGCATTCCAGCTGGCGAAACACTTGTGGAATGGCACCTTTGACTACTCCAACTGTGACATAAATCCTCTGGACCCAGGGGAATGCAATCCCCTCATACCCAGGTATCAAAACTCGAGTTTGGTCTCATTGCAGAAACCTAGTTTTCTTGCCCTTATTTCACAGAGTTTAATTTGATTTTATTTCTTTTTTTCCCTTGTACAGAAAGGGACAAGGACGCCCAGACTGGGCTGTGTTTGGCAGACTCACAGAACATAACGAGACCATACTGTTCAAAGAAAAATTTCTTGATTGGACAGAGCTGAAGAAACTCAATGAGAAGAATTCTAGTGAATCCCTTCACCAGAAGGTGCATATAATAAGCATGCTAGGTATTTCAAACTAGGTGACTTAGCTGGGATTGAAACCAGGGAAGCTTGTTCTCAAGGATCCAGAGCACTTTCTTTATCTTGCGGGCTTTGACCTAGGGGTCAGAACATCACCACCTTACAGTGAACCCCCAGAGTTGCTTTATATTAGTGCCGAGCAGCTCAATGAATACTGCCAAGGTGGCTTTGACAAGGCATCAAATGATGACAAGATATCAAAGTACAGAAATATGCGAGAGTCAAACTGTTTGAGTGGAATTGTGGGGTAAGAAGAAAAAAAGCTATGCTCAAAGAAATCTCTTCTGTGTTTTTTGACAGGAAGAATCCAGATCTGACTCTAAACCATATGATGTCATGCTAATGGTAGCTGTGCCCCAAACAACTGTAGGCACGGTCTTGGATGGAATGAATATTGGCCGGGGCTATGGACTTGTAGAAGGAGAAGATGGGAGGCAGTTTGAAATTATCACTGCATCTGTGGATGTCTGGCACATCCTGGAATTCGATTATAGTAGACTGCCTAAGCAAAGCATAGGGCAGTTCCATGAGGGAGACACATATGTGGTGAAGTGGAAGTACATGGTGAGCACTACAGGTTAGTGAACAATTCCATTTCATCCTGCTGAAACATGGAGAAGTGCAGCTAAAACTGCATAGTGGTACAGTTTTAGGGATAAGATCCAGACCTAGACTTCCTTGGATGTGAAACTGTTTTAAAGGTTAGAAATGCTAATTTAGCCTTCCTAGGCCATTAAGAAGTATAGCTTATTACTTTATTTTGTTTAAAAGAAAGCATTAAAAAAAAAAAGCTGTAGTTATTTTTCATACATCAAATGTAATACTGTCCATCTCTCCTTTTACCCAATAGTGGTGGTGTACATGTTCACAGGACAGCTCATTAGGCCAGAATTGTGCCCACAGCTTAACACCAAAATAACTAGGCAGCTGGACTAACGACAGTGGCCTGAATGTCTTGCAAGGGGGGTAGGCTTAGCAACAACGAAAGACTTTGCTGGGTAATGGAGAACAGTAACAATGACAGGAAAAGCCCTTGCCAACTCATTGCTCTTGCTGTCCTTTTTGCTGTTCCTGGAAACCCTTTGCTATGGGTTTCAGTCTCAAGTGGAGAACTTTAGCAGTGTTCTGACAAGAGTCTAAAAGGTAAAATGTTGAGAATCAGTCAGCTCAGTGTGCTCAATGGAACTCTCCCTTTTGGCACTAAACTAAGAATAGGTGGCTTTCGCGACAAGTGAAATAAAAATAGTCGAAACATTATTGTTTCAAATAGGAAAATATTAAAATTGGTTGAAAGCAGTGGAACAGCTATACAGCTTCAGGCTTTTAGCCAAAAAATGTAGGTAGGTCTCATTCAGGATCGTTGAGTTCAGATACTGGTAAATCCAAGAAAAATACAAAAGCTTGTAAATCTTGGGAGAAATGGGTAACATTAATACTGAACTGTAAACAGACTCCTAATCCAAATGGATGAAAATATATTCCATCACTTCAAGACAGAATAAATTTTTATGCAGGAGGCAGTACTTTTATGGGCTGAATGCACAGATAAGAATGAAAACCATAAATTTTAGAAGTGAGTAGTGGTTTGAGTATTCTCATCTTGAAAAAAACAGCATGCTTTCTCCTAAGTATTTCAGTTGGATGCTGCTCAGCACTGCTGAAATCAAGGCAGAAGTTTTAATTTATTTTTTTTAAGAATCTGGTTTAAAGCTCTTGGGTATTTTTAAATCTTTGATTTAATTATATCTGTTTATTTAGTATTCCCTGGAAAGAGTAAAATAATCCATAACTGGTTGTATTGTCAACTTCACTTGCTGTAAACATTACTCGCTTATCACAACAACTAAATACCGATCCTCTCTAAAAAAAAACAAAAAAAAGGGTTGCTGCTAACCCACTTTCCAGACCAATATGAAATACTGAGTTAATTTAAATAAATAAATAAATCTTACCTAATCCTAACTTTTTTATGACTGCAAAATACTGCTTTGGTCTTCTTTTGTTCTGTAGTTTTCCTTTCTAATATCACTTTACCAAGAAAGACTTTTCTTTTATGCCTGTAGCTTTCTCAACTGTTGCTGTTTCCAGTATTGTTCCAGCCAGCTACTCTCCTGCTGCCAAAGAACAGTGTGTAATGTGGAAAATGAGCCATAACGCACTCTTCTGGTAACATGACTGGATGTACCATTTCACATGCAAATTGGCTCAAGTGATGTCAGTTATTTTTCTCCGGATAGTACCAGTTCTTTCTACATCTCTTTCTCTGGCCAACACAGGCATCTCTCTCTGTGGGCTTACATCCACCTGATGAGACAATGCCAACTTGGGGGACGTTACTGGCTTGGACACCTAATGTTCTTCCAGTTGGACATTTTATCTTTCCTGTTCTGGATGGGCTAGTGCTGAGCTGGCAGATGAGATTAAACCACGTGCTGTTTAAATCTATAGCCAGAGTACTTTTTTCAGCATGTGCTTTCTGTTTTGCAGTTGGAAGCAGGCAAAAAGGAGAGCAACAAGTAAGGGCTCTTGGAAAAGAGAAATGCGTGTATTTCTTTTGGCAAGGAAGGCACTCCACAGTGAGTGAGAAAGGGACATCGGCACTGATGACAGTGGAACTTGATGAAGAGAGAGGAGCACAGGTGAGCTTCCTGCAGACCTAGGTGGCAGTCCTGGTAAGACTTGCCTGCCCAAGTAGCCACCAATGGCAAATGCAAATTATCTTTTTTGCCTCCTCTCTTTCTGTAAACATGTTCTTGACAGTACAGATTACTAGACCTCAAAATTGCTTTTGGCTTTATACCAACTTCCAGAGACAGATAAGCTCCTTTATGGATTGTCATTCCCAAACCCTGCTTCTAAAGATGAAATTTCTGAGAATGGCTGAAGAAGAATGTCTTCTCTCCTCTCCCTGCAGGAATAGGTGAAGCACAGTTAAATAAATTTGTGCCTTCACTTCAAGTACATGTTCAGATAACAGGACTGTCTTCCTAGTGCTGAGACCAGGAGAAGCACTTTCTGCCAGGCCAAGGCATGAAAATACATTGGAAATTTTCAATTTGTTTACTCTGTAATTACATATTAGATTGCCTTGTTTTGCAGAGATTCTATCAACTGCAGATTCAGCTAGTTTGAAGCTCAAACAGAGGACAGGCTAGCTTGCTTTGTCTTTAGCTGAAGTTGGGCTTTGTTGTGGCTTGACTGCTACCAGCATACAAGATGGGAGGCTTAAAGTTAGTTTCTGTACCTTGATAATGCTGTGATTAGTTTTTTAACAGCAGCGTAGAAGTGACCAGTAAGACAGGAGTTCATAGAGGAGATATGTAAATACACTTGATCCAGAGTGTGCGATTCTGTGCAACATACCTGATTTAGCAATTAGCTATATCAGTTTCATAATCACAATGCAATGTTTAATGAGCAAAGAACATGCATGTTGTAATATAAACCAGTTTTACAGCAAATTTTGAACCTACTTCAGTTCCTACATTATATCCATAATAGTTTCAAAGAATATAAGGCAGGATGGCCCAGTCCTGTAAAGAATTCAAATAATGGTTAAACTAATTTAAATTAGAGTTTATTTGGTATTCCTTATCCTCTAAAACTCTTGATTGTTGGATTCCAGCTAGAGGTTTCTTTTAATATGCAGGTCACATACGAAATCCATTGCATGCTGATATATATGGTAATTTAAACAATAGTCAGCAGTTGTAAGGTAGAATGAAAGCCATCTTCGTGGGTGGCCATAACTATACAATTTTTAATAATCCATAGAGATTAGTTTTCCTGAGTCTGTATACTTGCTTCATTTTTTTTTTAATGAAGAGTGGCGCTTTCAATTTCCAGGTACAAGTGCTTCAAGGGAAAGAACCGCCATGCTTCCTGCAGTGCTTCCAAGGAGGGATGATTGTGCATGCTGGCAGAAGGGAAGAGGAAGAAGAAAATGCACAAAGTAAATTACTGTTAAGAGCTTCTGCCCCCAAATCCTTTTGTATCTATTGTGAAGGGCTTTGAATTTAGTCTCAACTTACCATACTCTGTAGAAAAGGGAAATGAATGCCGTGAAACCCATGAGACAGCTTTGCGATGCTTTGTTTCAAGTTAGTTTGTTTCTTCTTTGAGCATAGCATGGATTTTGTCACCCTAGAGCAAGCTGACTTTATTGTATTGATATGCATATAAATTGTTCTAGTTGTTTTTTAATTAAGCAAAGTGCTCATTTGCTTTAAAATATGTTCTTTTCTACACAGTCTGGGCAAAGGAGCATTTTTATGAGCAGTTCTCCTGCTCCAAGGAGAACTCTAAGGTTTTGTTACCCCTTCGTTACTTTTTGCAACATATTCCTTGTATGCTGCAGTTGAGGTCAGAGAATTTCAATGCACGTGTAGCTTGGACTGTGCTCCAGTTTGCATCTGAATGTGATCTCCTGTGCCTAAGGTGCACAGGGGAAAAGAAGTTGAATAGAAGGACTACTGTATTTATTTCCCTTTTTTTCCTGTATGAAACAGAGCAGAAACTTGTCTCTCCTGCTCTGTTAAGCTCTTCAGCTCTTAATACTTGTACTTTTGTAGCAAGGTTTCAGAAGGTGTCTTTTCTGCAACAGGGTTTCTGGAGTAGTGTTAGCCAAACCTGATGCTTGGCTAGTTTATTCTGTGACAATATAGGCATGTGATATGTGAAATTCATCCAGTATGAGAACAGCTGTTCCAGAGCAGAGGTCTTGAATTTTCAACCCCATGTGACTGACTGTATAATACTGCTGCACTGTTCCTGTCTGCTCCAGGTGACTGGAGGCTATATTGTGTGCGAGGAGAAGTTCCCAATGAAGGAAACTTACTTGAAGTAGCATGTCACTGCAGCAGCCTGCGTTCCCGGACATCCATGATTGTCCTCAATATAAATAAAGCTCTCATCTACCTGTGGCATGGCTGCAAAGCACAATCTCACACCAAGGATGTAGGAAGAACAGCAGCCAATAAAATAAAGGAACAGTGAGTGTCTGATCTATATTTTGGACATGTTAAAATAGTCTGCCTCAAAGAAAAGTTGAAATAACTAAAGCTGTCCTCTGAGTACAACTGCAGCATGTGCACGCTTGGTAAGGAGGGGGAATGATGGGTAGTTGATTCGATGGAGTGGGGAAAACACATGTTCTGTAATCACTTTAAGGTCAAATGCACTTACTCTTCCTAATGTACTGATTACAGTTGCAAAACAAATGGTCTCCATTTGGAGGGAGATGCTCAATATCTGAATAGCAAACTAAATCCCAGTTGATAGGATTAGAATCAAGCCTTGTAAATAAGGAAGAGGAAATGTGTTTGGGAAAGCATTTGAGGAGGACAGCAGTAGTTACAAAAACAGGCAGTGAGAATCCCTACTGAGAGCTCATGCGAGCATCTCCTCCGCTCTAGGTATGTGATCAGAAATGGTATGAGAATGGTTGCTGAAATTCCGTATCTTGTTTATTGATAATTTTTGTCATTTTCAAAAAGCCTATGTTCACATGAAGTGTGCAACAAGCCTATAGGGTGCTTTTGGGTTCTAATAATGCAAGTGGCCAGCAGGTTTGTGTTAGCTGTGTTCGGGGCAGGAAAGCTCGGTTCACTCTTTTTCCTTCGTGTTTTGTAGATGTCCGCTGGAGGCAGGGCTGCACAGCAGCAGCAAGGTGACGATACATGAATGTGATGAAGGATCAGAGCCCTTGGGATTCTGGGACGCATTAGGAAGGAGAGATCGAAAGGCCTATGATTGCATGTTGCAAGGTAGACCTGCATTCCTGGATTTGGCACTCACATTTTACTTTACTGGTCTACGGTATTGTGAGATTTAATGTAAAGCTTTTGAAGAACATCTTGGTAGTTGAGATGATCGCTTCAGAGAGATGCTTCCAAAAAATCTACTGAGTTAAGTAATGCTGTTCTAGAAGGAAAGTGCTGGAAAACTAAGTGTTTCATTTTGTTCTCTCCCCCTTCTGCAGCCCCTCTGTATTCATGCAGCACGGAGCAATAGTTAACGCTGTTACCAACACGTTTTGCTTCTCTTCTGATGGGATTTAGGAGGCAGTTCTGCACACATTTTTTTCCAGTCTTTGCTTTGAAACTGCCAACAAAGGTAGCAGGGGGATTGATTTACCAAGTAGAAAATGTGTCAGTTAAAAAGTAAACTCTGAGATGAGCTTGCTTCACTTAAGCTTGCAAAACAGCCCGTTATGAAATGGCTGATAGTAAGTAGCCAGGATCAGATTCAAACTGATGGCAGCCAGCCTTATAGCTCAAGTTATTCACAGCTGTTGCTAGTCCCCTAAGACATCTGGTCATCTTTCTTTATTTTTCAAAAACCAGAGAATTTACAGTGACTCTAAAAGTTGATTTTTTTTTTTTATTTTTATTTTTATTTTTTACATTCACCTCTGGTATTTTCTGTTGGAAATCTTCTTAATTTTTGTTCTTTAAAGATCCTGGAAAGTTTAATTTCACCCCCCGCCTGTTCAGCCTCAGTAGTTCCTCAGGAGAATTCTCAGCCACTGAGTACATTTACCCTTCAAGAGACCCTGCTGTCATCAATTCCATGCCATTCTTGCAAGAAGATCTTTACACTGCCCCACAGCCAGGTATATGCTTTAAAATACTTAAGTAACAAGAAAACAGATAACTGTATCCTGCATTGGGCAGTGATTCAGTAACTGTAATCACTTTTAACTTGCTTTATCACAGGAAAATGTGTGCATGTGATGCTTATACTGCATTAAACACTAACAGTAATTTTTTTTGTGGTAAAGATGCTGAGAACTAATCAAACATACATGTATCCCAAAAGCTTGCTATAAAAATACATTGTTTATATCAGAGAACCTGAGTTCAGCTGAGGTTCAGCTGGATGAATAACAAAAGGGATCGGTAAGCTTTGAAATGATCCTGTCCTGATGCTGACAAGCATGTAAGACTGGGGTTGTTTAGGGGATTCTGAGAACTAATAAGCAACTGATGATGGATTTGTTATGTTTTTGGCTGTGTAGCACTGTTCCTTGTTGACAATCACCATGAAGTGTACCTGTGGCAAGGCTGGTGGCCTGTGGAAAACAAAATTGCTGGATCAGCTCGAATCAGGTGGGCTACAGACAGGAAATGCGCCATGGAGACAGTGCTCCGGTACTGCAAAGGTAACAGATTGCTGTGCCTGGCTGTTCTGAGTGTGTCATGCCTTTCCATGCCTTGCTGTCCTGAGTTGAAAGGTACTCAGGTGCTCCCACAATGCTATTGATAAACATCAGCGTATTTGAAGATACATTCTCCACTCTTTCTTAGCAAACCATTTAGTAAATGGCATTGTTCCCAAATTGCGAAGATACTCTGCTGACTCAATTCTCAGAGGAAAGGCTTTATTCCTCTTCTGTGCCCCCGCTGTGGGGAAAATAGTTCAGACATCAGATCCCTAAAAGTGAATTCTGAGAACACAGCCTCTTAAACCTGAATGCTTTCTGTCTAGGTCCTCTTAGATTTCATAAGCTTCTGTGTATCAAAAGACTGAATGAAGATACTGTTTGCTGATGTAACTGGGTTTTGATTTAGTGGGGAAGGTGGAAAGACTTTGAAGATCGAGAACAAGTCTCACACGGAAACAGGCGGCCATTGGAAATGCTGGAGCACATTGCTGAGGCTCTGTACTCATTTTTAGAAAACAGTTATTACCAGTCAGTATGCAGTGATTCTAGCTGCAATTGATGATCATGTAAGAGCACACTGACCAGATTATTTTCTGTGCTAGTAGAGTTTCCTTGAGACACTGTAATGCTTTCTTCTCACTTCATCTAAGGTTGTGTGAGGCTGGGAACAGACCTTGCATCTTCTGATGAAGGATGAATAAAGAAAGGTGTGGGGTTACCATCCAGGAAAGAAGGCATAAGTAACAGCCATGTTCTGTTAGTTCAGAACAGTTTCCCACTGTGAATAAGTCACTACAGCTTAACTGATCCAACCTATGTCCTCTTGCAAGGAAAGCCTGATCACTTACAGATCTTGAGACCTCATGATGCCACTGATCTCTTCTGTAGCAAATAAACTTCACAACTTGTGACACAGCTGGTGGTAACTGTCATCTTCTCCCATAGATATTTGTGTATTTGAAGAGGGAAAGCGATACCCTTCTTGGATATTCCACCCTTATGAGGATAAGCCAGTCTTTCCTTCCCAATCTGCAGGTCGAATAGGAGTAGGCGCACGTGTTGTGATTCTACTCAGTTGTCTCATGTCACTGATGGGAGGTGGTAACACCTGGCAGGAGACAGCTGAAAACCAGTACTGGAGGCACAGAAACGTGACCTTCATCGGACTGCGGTGTTGCTCTGTCGTTCATCCTCTGGTGTCCCTGGCACTGCCCTGCCCTGCCCAATAGCAGCATTTGTTTAGGAATGGGGTGCTAAAGACAGGGCAGTAATTGGAAGAGTCTTGGGCAGCGACTGCTGAATTCCTAAAGAAAAGGCCAGTTACTTGTTCTCCACCACCCCCAGTTCTCCCAAGTCAGAAGGAGTGATAAGGTGCACTTCTTTGAAATCATTTCATACAGCGTGCTTCACAGCAGAAGTAAATGTCACCATAGAGGAACTGAGCCCCATGCAAAGAAGTGCCCAGAGTTGCTCAGCAGGCTAGCGAGAGAGATACAAGTGAGATCCTGTTGCTGATGCAGTGGTAATCCTCTGGTAATGGAAAATCATGTTTTCTGGACCCAGGAGAGATGGAATCAGATACACATGCTGAGGTTTGGATACTTTTCCAGATTTCTTGAACTTCATGAAGTTCAGTGATGGGAAAAGTGATTAATACCTTCTGCACTGGATTGAATTCGCTGCATCTGAGTTTGATGCACAGTGGAAAGCTCTTCGGTGACTCCTCAGGGGTCTGAACTTTAGCATATGTATCATAGGACAAGTTTTTTTGCTGGGTGCTCACTTCTTTACCTCTGGCCATGACTTTGCAGCAGTTGTGGCTTTATCATCTTTGCCATGGGGTAGTTCTCAAGAGCTTTGGGCTGTATGGTTGGATAGGTACAGAACAAGTTTTTTACTGTTAAAGACCAATTCTACTTGTACTATTTCTATGCCAAAGCTAATGTGAACTTCTTTAGCAGTTTCCTACCGTTCAAACTATGCTGTTCTGGTGGTCTGTCACTTTCATGATCTGGGATTCTGTCAACCCCTTCAAAAATTTATTGCATCAAGCTGTCAGGGCTGACTAGCTCTTATGTTTTGTTACTTACCAAGGTGGAGAAACTGTATTTCAGGAGATACCAATGCTGCTGCAATTATTTTGACTACCAGAATATAGTTGAGTGATCAGAAGCATTAGAACACTTTTCTCTTACTTATCTCTCTCTCCATGTCTTTCCTCATCTATGTCCTTCTCCCCATTTCCCCCCCCCCCCCCCCCCTTTTTTTTTTTTTTCTTTTCCTGGCTTGCAGTGTTTAACTACATGATGGTATGAAAGAGATTAATTAGCAACTCTGGATATCCCTTGAATATACCTAGCAGTTCTCCTTGTGCATAAATCTTCTTTAACTCATCAAAATGTCTTGCAAGTTTTTCTGTGGTTTTATCTGCTAAATCAGCAGTCTGGAGAGCTGAGCTGCAGACCGCTAGGAGAGGGAAGAATCTGGTTTGCCCTTCAGTGATTTTTAGTGAGGAGATCAGCTTGTGCTGAGGGCAGAGTTCATGCAATGGAAATGTTTCTCCATTTACGTACAAATTCATCTCACCTATGCTGGAACATTAGCAAATGCCACTCTCCTTTTATTTCTTGGCTGAATTACTGAGAGCGGAGCAGTGCAACTAGAGCAGATTCACACATTTTTTAAATGCAGTGTTTTTAAGTGCTTGTTGAATTGTTCGTGGTAGAACAAGAAATAAACCACAGTGAAAATATGTGGAAGAGAAGGCTCTTATGTCCATGTCCTATATAGTGTGCACACATACGTTTTAAAGAGGCAGGACTGTCTTTGAAAATCATCAGTAATTACCATCCAGCTATTGCAATATCTCTGTTAACTTTCAGATCCCACTCCTTTGAATTTGTAATAACAAAATGATTGTGTTTGACCTCAGTATCCCAAGTTAAGAACAGTTTAAACATTCTCCCTTAAGCCTCCAAGCTTAAGCTTTATTTGCTGCTGGCAGGACACTTTGGCTGAGCATACCAGGTTTCATTTACGTGAATTTGGCTAATTTCAGACCATCACACTCTGCTTTACTCTATTCTAACTCTATTTTTGTAAGATAAGAAATACATTGGGTTAGGAAGTAACTGTGGGGAATTTTCAGCGTACATGGTTTGATCTTTGTTGTCAGATACAGTAAAAGGCAAATTTAAGAATACTGAAAAACATGTTAAAAGGTGCCATACTATATTAAAAAAAAAAAATCCTGGTGAAATTTATTCCTACTGCCTTAAATTACTTCAGCTTTTCAGGAAAGAATCAACTAAACATGCTTACGAGGTAGCTTTGGATAGTGGGTGACATTGCAAAATATGGTACCATTTGCAATTTCTCTCTTTTTTTTGTATTTTGACTGTTTTTAGGAAAAAATATAAAGAAGCCCCCAAAATCCTATCTAATTCATGCTGGCCTAGAGCCTCTGACCTTCACTAATATGTTCCCAAGTTGGGAACACAGGGAAGACATCGCAGAGATCACAGAAATGGTAAATCTTTTCATTGCCCAGACTGTTTTCTGTTGCTAGTAATTATGTCTTGTGTTGTCAGTAACATTTCTTGTTTGTGCCGTCATCCCCAAAATCCAGAGGATGAACTTGGAAAGTACAGTTCAGGAGTCTGCACAGGAAAAAAATAACATAGCTAAATTCCAACTGGAAGTGTGGATATTAGAGGCATTCCTGGTTGTTTTTTCATGTAACTTCTCACATTCTTTTTTTTGTTAAGAACAGGAGGAAAGTGTTATCTGAATCATCTCTTAGAAAGAGATGTGCTAGAGTTTAGCAGAACAACTGTTTTGATCATGTGAAACAGGCAGCAATGTGCAGTTCTGGTCTGTTCTCCGGGCTCAAAGTGCAGGGGAGCAAAATGCCCTGCAAAGGATCAGCTGGCTCCAAGAGCTTCAGCATTGACTTACCCACATGGGAAGCAGAGTCACAGCCAAATTACACGTGACTGCTTTAAAAGCCTTCAGTGAAGGGGCATCTCAAGGCAAATGACATTTTCTGTTTTCCAAGTCTTCTGCAGCCATCCTTAGTGGAAAATGCTGGCTTCATGACTAAACACAGAATTCAGCCTTAAATGGAGAGTACAGCATGTCCTTCTGCTAAGTGCAGACTTTTTTTAAGCTGTGAAATTGTTGTAGGGTAGGGCTGTTCACCTATGTACGGACCTGGATGTATAGCTTTGTGCTCTGTGGGCCAGGCAGTGCAGGTTGATCCCATGCCATCTGCAGACTGCAATGGGAACAGTTGGTGGTTTCAGCATTGTGATCCTGTTCTCCATTTTCCTTTTCTCCCTATAGGATGCTGATGTTTCTAATCAGATAATCCTTGTAGAGGATGTGCTGGCCAAGCTGTGTAAAACGGTGTATCCATTAGCAGATCTCTTAGCTAGGCCTCTACCTGAGGGAGTCGATCCACTGAAGCTTGAAATTTATCTTTCAGATGAGGACTTTGAGGTAAGGAGCGAATAGGTGCACTGTTACTCTGTGCATGTGTGTCAAACCATGCTGTGAAGTCATTTGACAGTTTTGCTACTTACGAGTGTTTTTACTAATGGCATATCCTCTCATTTTAAATGCAGGTTGCATTAGAGATGACAAGAGAAGAGTACAATGCACTGCCATCTTGGAAGCAGGTTAATCTAAAGAAGGCAAAAGGACTTTTCTAAGTTGCGTTTATTGGAGTGAGCACTAAAGGGATGTCTGTTTTCACTTTCTATGCCCTTTAGAAGAATTGTACCCCACATTTACAGAATAAATAGACATAATCTGAAGTTATTAGTGACTACCTGTCTGGAGGTGTGTAATATTATAAAAGGCCAAGAGAACTCTTTGGAAATGGAATTCAGTTTTGACTCTTAAAGGTAATGTGTTTTAAGCTCTGCTCTCCTATGCACTGAAACAGTAGTTTCTTGAGCTACTGCTGCAGGTGTCCTTTGGCTATATACAATACTTGCCATTTTTGTTTTTGAAGAAGTTCTCTTTGTAAAGTGTTATTTTGTTAGTTTGTGGATTACAAAGAATTTATATTTATATAAACACATAGAATGAGTATGTATTTAACAATGCAATATATATTCACTTTCAAGACTGTCATGTCAAAACTGCAGAAAAGTAGCTGGATGGCAGTTGCTTGTACTGAATTAGCTATACCACCAATATGTATCTTCTACGCGTTCTGAAAAGTTTCTCTTTGCAGTAGTTAATGAATTGTTCTCAGTGCTGCTTCAGGTGCTAAACCGAACAAAGCATTTGTATTTATAGCATGGATTTCTTGAGAAACTATGCGAATCGACCTTTATACTTTATTATCCAAAAATGTATAGTGCCTTGTTTTTTGTGTACAGTTTATATACAAAAAAAAAAAGATCGGTCTGCATTTTGAAGATGGCTTAGAATGGTCTCCTATGTTACTTTTATAATAGTAGAAATAAAAACATCTCAGTTTCTAATACTTGTTGTAAACATTAAACATGTCTTTTGTGATATAAGAACCAAAAGTAAAAGCTTCTGAATAAACTCTTAGCAATGCTCTGAGTTGTCATTATTTTGTACTGTAATCTGTACGAAGTGACTGAAACCTTCCATAACATGGTATTTTATCAAAACATTTTAACCTCAGATATCTGCAAGTGTTGTACAGTTAAAATTTGAGAAGCAGATAATGTAGAAAAGAATCAGTATATGTGCAACACTTTAATGTTGAACATTGGAACAGTCATGCAACTCCTGTATCCTTTGGGTTTTCCTGTTTTATACATGCAACCAAAATTTTTATGCTGGTTTTCAAACTTTGAAAAAATCTTTTCAACCTTTGTGCAATTGGGAGTAAAACTTGAACTGAAAATGAGTATGGCATTGTGTCCGTTCTTTCAGTAAGCACCAGAGTCAAAATCGTTTTCATTCAGCTAATTAGGACATTGAATAGAGCAATAGAGTAAAAATATGCTATTGTTTGAAATGTTTTTCAGGCATTTGGCATTTCTGTTAACAACTTGTGTGGTTGTCCTCTGATAGCCTAGTGGATTTCACATTTTTGTTCCTGCTAGCATAAGCTTCCTTTTCCTTCTGCCCTGCAGCCATTCAGAGCTCCTCCTGCCTTGGTAAAAAGGTGATCACCTGCAGTGGTACCTGTTGCTGCTCTTGTCATTCTCCTAGGCCCAGGGAAAGAAAGTAGGATCTTTGAATGTGTGAGGTGTAGATTTCATCAAGATCTGCAGTAAATATTGCTCCGTAGTTAAAATTAATCTTGTTTTGACACATCAGTTAATAAGTTGTAAGCTAGCTTTTAAGTAAATAAACGAAAAACCTAGAAATACACAAGTACTATTCACTGGCCTGAGATACTACAGGTGAATTTTCTCACTGGTGTATTTCCTTTTATTATGGGTTATTTCATTTCAGTTTTTGACAGAAACCAAAGAAAAGGGTAGCAACAATATTCAGAGCCAGGATACTTCTTACATAGCCTCCAGCAAAAATATGTTTAGATGTCTGATAGTTCCTCAGAGGTCCTCAACTATGTCTTCTGCATGGGATACACTTAGTTTGAAAATGCAGGGCTTTATAGTGACAAGTTTATTTTTCAAGCACTGAGAGATTTCCAAAGTCACTGCTGTACTCATCTAAGTATTTTTGCACCCATATATTTTCCTCTTTTACCCTCTCTGGTGATAAAGTCAACCAGGAATTATGTTTTGTTTATTCATGTTCAGTCTGTACCATAGGGGTAGCAGGTTCCTCTGTTTTGATTTTTCTCTCCAACAGAGAGCTGATTTGCATAGCATGATTGACCTTGTTTTTCCCTCTGGCAGGGTAGTATCATTTGGTTTTGTTTTTTGAAAACACTGTCAGTCCTCCAAGTGCTGCTGAAGGGCAACACCCACCCACTCTTAAAGCCTTTAGAATCTCAGCTGAAAGACAAGACAAGCCGGCTTGAGGACCTACAGGCAGTGAAACGTAATTCAGTGTTGTCAGCTCTCAGAGTTCCTGTAATTTTTACACAATTTGGTATCTTGTGTCCCAGTTCCAGGAACCAGGATGCAGAACCCAACTTCCTACTGAAGTGCTTTGCCCATAACATTGCCTTGGAAAGCTTCAAGGTTTTGCAGAAGATATAATATTTTATTGTCCTTAATATACTTGTTATTTATCAAAATGCCTTCCTGAAATGTGAAGATGACAACAGAAAACAAGTCAGTGTAAGGCCTCAAACAGAACTGTGGGTTATGCTTTAATTTTCTGCTACCTTCCCTCTCTACTGTGGGGAATGCCATTTAAGGTTGGAAATTGGAAAGGGCCATTAAAATCTTCTTGAGCTGTTTTTATAGCCCTGCATGGGAAATACAGCTGAAACAGGTTTTGTCTGGGTATGGGGAGGGGGTAGTTTGTTTGTTTGCATGGCTTGTCTAAGTGTTGTTTGCTTGCTTCAAATAGACCCCCAAGAACACAATGTCTAGGGTGAATTCAAAGGCAAAGTATCTGGTGCAGAGACTCTGTGTGAAAAAGGCATTACCTTGAACATGGCATTCTGCATTTTCTGTCGATCTCGCAGCTTCCAGGCCTTGAGCCATGATTCTTATCTCCTATGGTTTTGAACTGCTCAATCCTGACTCTTAAAAACATTGCTCTCTGATTATACAAGCATTCCTGCACACGTAAGGATTTGTTAGCAGTGAAATGGGCTGGAAATGTGAATACATTAGTATGCCAAAACAGCAAATAAAACATTATGTCTGAAAAATCTGCAGCCTGTATGCTTTAGCCAGAAGAGGAGGGAAAATGGAAGGTAGGTAGGGGGAGAAAAAAGAAAACTAATCTTTAACAATTTGGGAGAGCTAGTTTCTGCCCACCACTGTCCCACCAGTCTCCCAAACAGGTTTTAGCTGAGCAGGAGTTGTGGACTCACGTGCACAACCGGTGAAAGCTGATTCTAAGCTTCTCAGCCTGTGGTGCTTTTTGTGGGAGGGGGGCAGTGGCAGGCTGATGCAGTGGAGTCTGAATGCTGCAGAGATCTCTGGGATAGAGGCTTTGGCTGGTGGAGATGTGCTCCCCACAGGGCAGCACTAACCCTGCTTGACTGGAGTGGCAGGAAGAACCATTTGACTAGCCTCTGCTACTAACTCTCAGTCTAAACAACCCTTTTGGATCAAGTAGCAGGTGAAGAGAAATAGCTCAAATAATAACATTCTTCAAAGTGCCTGCTTTCTACATCCCCTTGTGTGGAAACTAAAGTAGATTTGCAATAATAGGTCATTGCTGCCCAGTAGGAGAAAGCAGCCTGTACGCCCAAGCCACCATTCAAACAAACACCTGAGGCTGCTGTTCACCTGATGCGCTCTCCCAATATGATGCTGAGAGCCAACAGCTGACGCTGCAGGGAAATCCCTTTTGAGCAGGAGGTGAGGATCGTGCTCAGCCAGTCAGTACTGGCTTTGGGGACACATGGTTCCCTCCGATTCTCACGGGGCAACAGCATGGGGTTGATATGCAAGCCTGAGATGCTGCCACGGGTAGATGGACACTTTTAACCTTCCTCCTGAAATTGAATGTGTGAATTGATCTTTGATGGGGATGAAGGAGGTTGGAGTGCAGTGCTTGAAATGCCAGGTGGGTTCTCCCTCCTCTCATCTCATATTTATATGCCCTGTAAGGTTAATGCTGATTCTATGTTGTTTTCTTGTGATTTGATCAGTGGAGCAAGACGAGCGCCTGGAAGAACTGCTAACTGTGAGTAACTCCTCTTTCTGCTGCTGTCCTGGTGAGTTAGTAACTAAAACAGGCCGAAGAACAGTCTGGGGGGTCGGTGCAGTTTCCTCATTCATGCTGGCTCTGCAGCTAAGTTTTGTTAAAACCTGTGACTGTGGGCTAGTGTTGTCACGGTGTTAGTTTTTCTCTGTCTAATCCAACTATCCTGGTCCTATAATAATACAAAAAACAGCTAAAATATTTTAACAATACTTTTCCCTTCACATTAAGCCTTAGCATGTGTGCTGTACTGGCTTCTTGCTAGCAGTGTTTTTCTGGGCGCTGACTTCTGAACTTGGAGGTGAACAAGGGCAAAACCTCTCCACAGATAGAGGCACGGCCCAAATACCCAAGCAGTATGACCAGTCCCAGAAAGCAAAGGGAGAAGCAGCAGCTCTTCCTGCTGTCAGGCAGGAGGGCAATCCCAGGGACCGTGCTGGTCAGCCGCTGCCCTACCTGTGAGGGAACCCGCTGCTCACACACATGGTACCTGCCCACAGGTCAAAATCAGCGTCTCTCAGTTTAGCAAAGGTGGCGGCTGCAAGGCATCCCACTTGCTCTGTGACTCGCAGGCGGTCTTAAACTCTCCGCTTGGCAGCTCTGGGATCCGCTCTGTATCAGGAATGTTTCGTGGGGGATTTTCCAGTTTGGTTTTGTGAGACTTAGGGGTAGATGGGGGAGTATGTAGCCAAGTGGCAGTATTTCAGCAGCCGTGCAGCTGGTGGAGGGCAGCCCTCCTCCACGTTCCTCTGTGCTCTGGCGTGGCCGAGAGCAGCATGGACTGAGAGCCAGTCACGCGGGGAACTATTTCTAGAGCTGGAGAGCCACTGAAGAAGCAACCCTAACCAGTCTGCAAAGCTGCACGCTCTGGAGCTGAAGCAAAGTAAATCTTTATCTCTGGCTTGTGCTTCTCCCGAAGTGCAGCATATTTCAAACAGTGAAAAAGAGGGAGTGCCACACACTGTGTGCACACCATCATCTTTCCTGCAGCTGGGCTACTTTGCCTTTGGGTGCTCCCTGCCCTTTATTCTTTGGGAAATCAGTGCAATGTGCCCAAGTGCCAAGGCAGCAGGCACACGAGATCAGCAGCAGGGACGGCAAGTTCACACTCTTTCATGCCAAATCTTATGCTCTCCATAAGGATGTGCAGCCCAAGGGGCAAAGATGGCCCCATCCTGTTTCTACAGCCACAGTCGTAAGTAAGGGAAGCCCCATGACTTGAGGTCCGCTTGCAGTCCTGATGCACTGACAAAGCAGAAAGCACCAGTTGCTCTCTTGGCAAGACCATAAAGTGCTGCTTGTATAAAGCTTTGTAAATCACTCCTGCCCAGTGTAGTGCCTTAGACTAGCAGAGGAATGTATTTTCACAGCAAGGACCAGACTGGACGAATTTCTTACATTCTGTTGCTAAAAGATACAATATTTATGCAAAAGAAACAGCTTTGTTTTCTGCTCTCTCATTGCAATAAGACACCGGGGTATTTGAAGAAAACTTTCTTTCATCAATAGAAGGTAGAGTCAGTTGTAGAGATTCATGGTAAAAGCTATTGAATGTGCATCTGAGGTGCCTGGCTCTGCTACACGTCTGCATGCACACAGTCCAGGTCCTGTGCGGGCAAACCCTTGCAGTCATGTATTTCTACACTTGGTGGCTCTACCAATCCAACCAAGCTGGAAGGGGCCTTGAAGGTCTATCTAGGTGGCTGCCGACACTATGGCTGCAAACGTTACCTAAACCACCCCAAACTTCGCCCTCCTCTGCAGGGACCTGTCCATGGAACTACT